CTAGAACCACTGCACCCTGTCTGCACACCTGTGGGGGGCAGCAGGGCTCCCCCAGACCCCTCTACACATACCCCCACATACACACACCATGCCCCCCTCCCTCGCAATATACAAGAGTAAGACTTCATTTTGAGCTATTATGCAGTCACCTCTATATACACAATGCAAACACACAAATCAGGACAAAAATATTTTTTTAAATAAAATTTAAAATGTTATTGTGGATGTTTGATTTTTAATATATAGCTGGGGGTTTTTTTGTTTTGTTTTTCTGGCTCCAAGATGGCAAACCCCTTTCCTAAAAGGAGTCCTTCCATGGGCAAGGGATGGGATTTCTGATGGCAAAGGTCAGGGATTTTGTGTGTGGGTGGGGGTGGGGGGTTTGACGTGGGACTTCCAGTCCCAAGATGGCAACCAGGGGGTGGGGTACCTGTCAAGGGTCAGGGCTACCCTTGTGGCCCTGGACAGCTCACCAAAACTCATTAAGCAGGTCTCCAGCCAAAATAATTGCCTGCCCCTGCTCTTGATAGACAAATGCAAGTTGCTGTATTTTAGGGAAGAATGATGAAAAGCACAGATACAGAATAGGTGGTAACCAGATGGGTGGCCGCACTGCTGAAAATTATTCTTGGATTTTGCTGACTTGTGAAGTCTGTTAACCACTGATGTGATGCAGTGGCAAAGAAGATTAATGCAGTTATGGGCTGCATCAGCAGGGTGCATGGGAGGTGATATGGCCTCTCTACTTTGTCCTGGTTAGGTCTCCTCTAGTGTTGTATGCAGTTCTGGGCTCTGCGTTTTTAAAAGGATGTGACAGTTACAGAGGGTCCTGAGGTGGGAGACAAATGAAAATAGTTTGGAGAGCAGGACATACAAGGAGAGATTGAGACCCTGTTTATTTGCAGATTGCATGCCTCTGAAGTAAGCCTCTTGTTTTGGGAAGACAGAGTGGTTCAAAAGAGAAATTATTTTTTTTTTCTTCCAAGTGGTTTAGGCTTGGTTCCTTCATTTGAGATATGCATCCCAATGTTTGATTGCTAACTTTTGGAGGGAAGTGTCAGTGTGGTGAATAACTAAGGTAATTATGTTTATCTTGAAGAAAAAGCAATTAAAGGGGAACAGGGTGAGGGAACCAAGGAGCAATGGTCTCAAGTTGCAACAAGGGAAATTTTTAGGTTAGATATTAGGAAGAACTTTCTCACTAGGAGGGTAGTAAAACACTGGAACAAGTTAACTAGAGAGGTTGAGGAATCTCTATCCTTGGAAGTTTTTAAGATCTGGCTAGACAAAGCCTTGGCTGCGATGATCTAGTTGGGGCTGGTCCTGCCTTGAGCAGGGGGACCTTACCCTTCTAACTTCTAATTTTTCTATGATTCTATAATGGCAGCCTTTCAGGTATTTGAAAAGTGCTATGAAGAAGAGGGAGAACTTCCTTTGGAGAGAGTTGGGTGCTTAGCTATGGCTTTAAATTGGAGCGAAGTAGGCTTTGGATATTAGGAAAAACTGCTTAGGGAAGCTGTGTAATATCTCTCTATCACTGGAGGTTTTTAAGAAGAGGCTGGATAAGCATTGGTCAGGGAGATTTAGGAGTAGCAATGCCTGGAGTGTGCAATGAAATGTAACAGTTGGAAGCCCAGGAGACCCCCATACACATGTTGCTTGGAATCACTGGAAGAGATCTGTAGCTTATAGTGGGTACAAATTTATGAAAATAAAACAGGTTCACAACTGGCCTTATTATGGAAAAAAGGTTAAAAGAACTGAGATAAACTTATGGAGGGGTTAGGGATGATAGGTGGGTTCTGGCTCTCTAATCGGAGTGCATGATGAATGGAGTTGGTTGCCATCCCTAGGTTGCAGGGCAGGGTGGAAGGTATTTTGGTTATTTCATTCTGGTTGCCACGTGGGGTTGACAAGGAATTTTATACCACAGCCAAATTGGCATGGGTTATGGGAGGGGTTTTGCTTCCCTGTGTAGGGAGGGCGAGTAGGGTGGATGTTCCTCTTCCTTGGATTTCTTGAGTGCATTTTAACAACTGCCTCCTGTCCTGGTGGTAGCAGAATATTGGTAGTGCCTGTGGCAAGGTAGGATAGAAAAAGAAACTGAGAAGTCAAAGTGCAGAGGAAGTAATTATTAAAAACTGGAAAGATGTGCAGTGTTATATTACGGGAAACTAAAATGGAGGAGGGGGACAAATTAAGCTAGAGAAAAGAGAAAACTCATCAGGTCTGTTCTTTGTTACCCTTCAGCAGTGTTCAACTGAAAGCTGACCAAGGTCGCTGAAAGTTAATTAGAGTGATCAGTACATTTTGAATATGATAGCTAATGAGTTGTGTAAAAGTTCCAAGCTCTGCCTAAATCAACAACAAAATAAGTCCTCAGATTTTGAAAGTGAGAAATTTAAAATTTATTGCTGGCATATTTGACAAGACAAAAAAAATTCAAAACTTTTATATTGCCAAGGTGTCAACCAACCTAGAAATGCTACATTATGAATTTTATTGCAAATCCGCCCATAAGCTGCTTGCAGGCGTTAAAAAACAAACGAATAAAAAACCCCACGCTTTACCAGAAGAAGCAGCACATTACTTCGACCCAGCTCTGCAGTGTCTGTATAGATTGTGCACTTCAGCGGGGCTTTGGTGCTTTTTAGCTAAAGCTGATTCAATCAGTTATTAGATAAAAGTGCCAAAAAAGCCCTACTGAAAGCATGCAATCTATACAGACAAGGTTCCTTGGGTGAATTTGATATCTTTTACTAGACCAACCCAAATAGTTGGAGAATAGTTATTAAGCAAGCTTTCGGGTTCAAAAACCCTTCGTTAGGCTAAGGAAGCTTCAGCAGTTGGTGTGTGCTCTTCCTGGATGGGATGAAAAGTGAAGAAGCCAGGGGCTGGGCTTTACTTTTCATTCCATCCAGGAAGAGCACACACCAACTGCTGAAACTTCCTTAGCCTGACAAAGGGTTTTTTAACTCGAAAGCTTGCTTAATAACTATTCTCCAACTATTTGGGTTGGTCAAATTCACCCAAGGAACCTTGTCTGCCTATGTCCTTAGGCCGACACGGCTACAACCTAAACCCCTGCAATCTATACAGACACTGAGCTAGCTGGGTCCAACTCAGACACTGCCTCTAGGGCTGTGCAAAGCTTCGGATCACGATTCGGATTCAGAGATGATTTGGAGGCTGAAGCTACGAATCTCAATCGAATTGCTGGAAGCTTTAGGCTTTCCAAATCAATTCGGAGATTCGGCCATAGGGTATAGTGGGTAATCAGTGAAATATCTGTAACTGTCTTTTGGCTGATTCAGCTGAAACTTGCAGGGATGGTAGCCCCTGCAGAGAGCATGACATGCTAAGTTTCAAGGTGATGGATGTAGGGGTTTCTGAGAAGCTGTACCTCAGAATCCTGAAAGCAAAACTCATGACATAGGCGACACTGTGTTAAGGCACCGGGGGGGTGAAAACTGCAGGGATGGTAGCCCCTGCTGAGGCCACAACGCCTGCCAAGTTTCAAGGAGATAGGTGCAGGGGTTTGGGGGGAACTGCACCTCAAGTGGCAGACGAGCAAAACTCGTGACATGGGTATCACTGTGTGTTAAGGCGTAGCAGAGTGAAAGCTACAGGCCTGCTAGCCCCCACAGTCTGCCAGCTTTCAGGGAGATAGGTGCAGGGGCTTCTGGGAAACTGCACCTCTAGCTGCTGACAGGCAAAACTCATGTTATGGGTGCTTGTGCAACTGTGTGTCTTGGGGCATGGGGTGGGGGGGAACAGCTAGCAGGCCTGGCTGCTAAGCCCTGCTGTGGCCACTAAGCCTGCCAGCTGTTAAAGAGCTGCTGTGTTACCAATCAATCATGACTCGCTGACCAGCTCAATACACAGTAGCTAGCATGGATAACAAGGTAATGAGCAAGAATTAACACCTACAAAACCACAGACTAAGGAGAGGAAAGAATCAATAGAGCTGGGAACAACTTCTGTCCCAAGACAGAGACAGTCAGTTGCACAAGCACCCATGTCAAGAGTTTTGCCTGTCAGCAGCTAGAGGGGCAGGGCCCCAGGACCCAGAACCCATGTACCTATCTCCTTGAAAGCTATCAGGCTTTGTGGCCTCAGCAGGGGCTAGTAGGCCTGAAGCTTTCACCCTGCTGCACTTTAACACACACACTGCTACAGTTTCCCAGAAGCCCCTGCATCTATCTCCATTAAACTTGGCAGGCTTTGTGGGCTCACTACCATCCCTGCAGTTTTTACCCCACTGTGGCTTAACACACACAAGTGACATGAGTTTTGCTTTCAGGACTTTGAGGTGCAGTTTCCCAGAAACTCCTGCACCTATCACTTTGAAACTCTGGGCATGCATGGAGCTTGGTACAGGAACATGCCAAGTTTTAAGTAGGGGGGGGGGCATCCCCCCCCCCCCCCCCCCCCCCCCCGGCCAAGTCTGCAAGCAGCTTAAGTTACTTAGATGCACAAATGCCATAATTTGGACTTTTTTAGTTTGGTGTTCAGGCCTTGTCTAGCAAAAATACTCTTGAGGTGATAGATTGGTATAAATCCAGGTCTATGGTGGCAATAAGTGCTTTTGTTAATGTACTTGTTCCCTGAGCAAAATAAGTTGTACCAATGACAGAACTTTATGGCAGTGTAGTGGGGTCTATGGTAAAACTTTTGCTTTTATGAAAGTGTTTTTAAAGGAAAAATGGCATTTCTAATGGACACTACTTAAATCTTTGCTGTTTTTAATTGCTGCTTTAATATAGTGCTGTCTTTAGACATTCCTGGAAAAAACACTATCTGTAGTACAAAGCAACAAGATTGGGTACCAACACAGCTACAACCTAAACCCCTGCAAGATTGCGTAGTGGTATTTATAATTAGTGTAACTAATGTTTCAGTATCTTCAGAATTCACTTTTTGTTCTGTGAAAGCATCGTTGAACATAACTCTAATGTAAATCAATGCTGTTGGGAAAAAAATAATTTCTCTCTTTGCAGAAAAGCCTGCCATTGCTCCACCTGTCTTTGTATTTCAGAAGGATAAAGCACAGAAGGTAAGGAGAGAATATTTTGTGTATGTACTCATTTTTCTTTTTTCTTTTCTTTTTTTTTTTGTACCTTGACTAACATTTCCAAGTAATGGGGTTTTTTTCATATGTAGTGTAACTACTGTGAATCTGAATTATAAGGTAATGACATTAATGAGTTTGTACTTCGTAGAAAAAAGCATTAGAAAGCTGCAGAGCGTAGTGTGGTGGAGAAAAACAAAACAGGAGACAATTGTGAATATCTTGAGTACTTTCAAAGCAGTGCTTAAGCAAAGATATGGGAGGGGAGGCAGACCTTATTTACATGTGGTAACAGGAAGTGTGAGAACTGATAAAAGGATGAAGAACTATAGATTAGGCTAGTAATTTGTCCTTGCCTATATTATATGTTTTGGGTTTTTTTAATTGTTTCCTAGCTTGGTAGGTCAATTATTTGAATTTGGAAATAGCACAAAATTGATGCTGGCTGGATAACTTAATTACTGTGCTAAATTTAGATTTCTTTTAAATTTGGAAAGAGAGGGTTTGTTTGTCTTTTTTGGATGAATTCTAATATGTGGCTTTCGCTTCTGAATTCTAACAAAACCTTCCAGTATTTGTTGTTTAAGTTATTGCTACTAACATATTTTGCCAAGGGGAATTGAATATTGAGAACTGTTTTGATTCCAGTCCAGGTCAATGGTGAATGGAAACCATTACCTTTTTAAACTGATATGTTTAGAAATCTGAGCCAGCAGTCCATGGAGTTTCTTACTCTAGACATGCTTCATCCAATTCGGAGTTGAATCTTGTTGAGAGAGAACTTTTTATGAAGAAGCTTTCATTTCTCTTTGCTGCCTGTGGTATACCTCTTTGGTGAATTAAGAGAGATCTGCAGTCAGCGGGGCTGACGGTGTGATACAGTTTTTTTTTTTTTGTTTTTTTTTTAATAAGGTTGCACTTTTAAAACTTATTCAGTTCAGGTTTGTTTGTTTTAAATGAAGTTGCTTTTAAGTGTCCTTTCTTCTAAATTAGAGTTGTTTGTGTTCTTGTCAAATATTTCTTGTCTTTCCCAAAGGATAGTAGATGCTTACAATCTGTTTATTTTTTTTAAGTTTAATTGGTGTGTATATATATATGTTGAATCATATCATAATAAAAGAAAGGTAAATTTCCTTAGATTTAGGGGAAAAACTTCAAATTTAACCTTTTTCATGATTTGTGTTCCTTAGCAGATCACTTACTTTCAAATAATAGGAGGTAAGTATTTAATAATAGGTCTTTAGTCAGAATAGAGATGAGTAAACATCAGTATTTTATTTTATATTGGATGCTAAACTTTCATAAACATTTGTAAACATTTAACTGATGGAAAAGTCACTAGTGCAGCACTTGAACAAATTTCCAGTTCTGGTTACAGTTGCATCCCCTTAGAACAGTATTAACAGCTATTGGCAGTTCACAGCATTTGCTGTTAATTAGAATTGCTTCCTCAGGTAGTTCCAGTTAAGTGGATTTCCTGATCACATGGCAAAATGTGAAGTCTTTACTGAGGCATTCAGGAGAATTCCTATTAAAATCTATCAGAATTTTGCCTCATACCCTCAAGGGTTTATTGGATACTTTAAAAACAGTTTAATGGAAAATTATCAAAATGCTGTTTTGTAAGTGGCAATTTGCATTTGTGTTGTTCTTGCAATTTTGGTCAAAGTTTAAAGCTCTCATGATGTACCATTAGGTGTTTGAAGAGCTTTGTGTTGTTCTCTAGCTCTTAGTTCAGACTGTCTTGCAGGTGTTGAAGGAGGAAATATTGCATCAAGATGTGTGCCATATGTTTATGACATTGGTGCTCAACCTGGCCCCTTTAGGCAGACGAGTGGCAGGCCAGTCCACAGGCCAGATCCTATGCATGGGGTCAGTCCGTGGGTGTGATATGGGGTCGAAGTGCCAGATGTAGCTGCAGCCTGACCCTGCTTGTCAGCGCCATGTACTGCTCAGGGCTGTCATCTGGCCTATAGGGTTCCCACTGGCTGACAGCCTTGTGGGCTGGATTTGATTTAGGGACTGGAGGCTGAGCACCACTGGTTTATATGCTAACAATTTTTTTCAGCCATGTTTGACTTTAATAGAGATTTAAATTATGCTAAATTTGGGAAATTCTGT